CCCTTTAAGCAGTTGTTCCTGACTAGCTCTGCTCAGCACTGGTCATTCCAGCAGCCCTACACTTCTCTGTCTACCCTTGGGTATAAACATAATGTTTATATATGTTTATATAATGACCAATAAGGCCAGCTCCCTATTATCCACATGTGGATTATCTGCATTTCTGGTTCTGTACAGCAAACATTTTAACTGGACCTGCTCTTTCTATTACTGAGCATCTTCTTGGACTAAGGCGCTCTCCAGTCTGCCTTCGTCTGCGAGTGCTGCTTGGAGTTCGAGCAAAGGCTGCCTTAACAATGGGAGGAAGAAGGACATTGGAGAGCTGGAGTGTGCTCAGAGGTGAACCGGGGATAGTGAGGGAGCAGTAGCTGTCGGAATGAGAATCAGTCAAAGCAAATGGGGGGTGTTTAACTTGGACAAGGCAAGAGTTAAGTGGGGATACAATGGCTGTCCTCAAAGAGCTGAAGGCCTGTTTGGCATACAGGAATTAGACTCTTGCATGCTATCTTGTCCCAGGGGGTAGAACCAGGATCAATGGATAGACTGTAGACGGAGGCAAACTATGATGCAAATGGAAATGCTCTAGTTCTTCCTAACAAGAATAAATCCCCACCATTAGAGTTGTTTGACAAAGGAACACTCCACCTTCAGCAGGTGCACAGTGGGTCCATTTATGCTGAATGCAATGCCAACTGTATTCAGGCACTGGGCAAATGAAGAGAAATTCAAGGTTGAATAAGAGGTGGCCCTGCTCTCAAGGAGCATATGGAGACAAATGAGAAAACAAATTGTCATGCTACAATGTGCTGCATCAACTAATAGATCGACTTAATGAGGGTTAACACTCCTTGAGCTCTTACTCTGCACCAGGTACTGTGCCCAGTGAGTCCTCATTTTAATGCCTCATTAACCTTCACAGCAGCTACATGAGGCAGGTGACAGATGGGGAAACTGAGGCTCCTTGTCTCATAGCCGGTAAGTAACAGACCAGAATTCAAACCCAGGTTTGTCTGACTACAGAGCCCAGATGTTCAACCATTATGCTCATTATCCTGGGCAAGGAACTGATTATTTAGGGGGGATAGGGGGCGGGAAGGGACAAGGGAGTTTTGCAGATGCATGAGCTGGGCACAATTTGTCACTGGTGATATTGAAGCAGTCCCCAATGTGAGAGAAGGCACTTCCACACTGAGTCCAAAGTTGGACTAGATCATCTTGAACATTCCTTCTGATTCTAAGCCTAGGCTCTATGATTCTGTTAGTCTGAGAAAATAGGATTAGAAAGGTAAATTCATTGTTAAAGAAATTCTGTAATATCTTGGAATCAGATGGGTTTTTTTTTTTGAAATAGGATTAGAAAGGTAAATTCATTGTTAAAGAAATTCTGTAATATCTTGGAATCAGATGAGTTTTTTTTTTTTTTTCTTATTTACTATTACAGTGTTTCTTAAACTAGGGCCTGTGAATTCCAGGGGGTTATGGACATCTTGGGGGTCCATGAATTCTATGAGAATTCTGCAATAATAATCTAAAACATTTTTATAACCTATAAAGACAATACTTTCTTTTGCAGTGATAATGCATCACTGAAAGTCTTTAAAGAATAAAACTGAAGTTTCTCAGGTCAGACTGGGAAAGGTGTCTGAGGACCTAAGTGATGGAGAATTGCTTGTCTTTAAAAGGTACCTGTATATTATTCAGGTTTGAGAGGTGGCACTCTGTGGGTTCTTTCTCCATTGTACAGGTAATGCATAGGCAACTCTGTTGCACTTATGCCTACCTTTGATTCACAAGATCTGTTTCCTGTGTGGATCCTTCCTCCCCACTTAAAGGGCAAACACCTTCATTTGGGAGTTTTTCCAGGAGTCAGGAAGACTGGAGCTGTCCCTGGCCTGAACACCATCAGGGTGGGGAGGAGGCCGAGGTGTGCCCACAAAGTCCTGGCATTTCCTTCCCTCTCTGCCTTTCATTCCCCGCCCACCCCTCCTCTCCAGAATGGAGTTCAGCAATCCTTTGAAATCAAAATGCATGAATGAAATAGGAGGGGTGAAACCCATAGACTCGGTCTGAGGCTGGGAAAGTCACAGCCAAGGTGTTAAGTAACCACTCTTCAAACGAGGAGGAAATCGAATCTGGCTGGAGCAGCAGCTCCTGGCTTTCCTTCTCGAGGCTCATTAGCTCCCACAGGAAGTGGGGGGCCCTGCCCTAGCTCCTGTTACAGGCGGCAGGCAACCCACGATCTCGACACCCTGTGGTTCTCCAAGACCTAAGCCCGGTGGAAAGTTTCACCTTGAGGAAGAAAAGTTTCCATTCCTTCTTCCAGCCCCCTGAGGGAGTGTACAGCAGACATCCGGGAATGTCCCCCAGGGACGGCCGTCTGCCAGCCCAGAACCAGCCAGGCTATTGAGCTCCTCCTCATTGGGTGCTCCTACCCTCCTTGGGGAGGAGCTTGGGTACACTGGGAGGGAGGCTCTAAGAGACCCCCAGATTGTCTACCCCACATTTGGCCTCCATAAGCTGTGTCCTGGACTGTACGACCACACACCTGCTATGCATGTATACCAGAAAGCACCAGTTCTCAGTAGTCGTAGCAGTAAACATACTTTGCCATTTATGGAATATTCTAATCCTCCCTATCAGCCCGTAAGATATGTATGATCTTTCTCATTTAAAGATAAGCAAATGGAGGCTCAGGGAGGCTAAATAACTCTTCCAAGGCAACCCAATTGGTGAATGGCACAGTTTGGTTTAAATCTTAGTTCTGTCGACACTGTCATGAGATGTTTTTTCATACATGTTTAGATTTGATTTTTCTGTTTAGCTTCTCCATTGAGATATTGTAGAGAAGGAGTGTGGGATGGAAAAAGAAATCCAAAAAGCAGGGACCCCTTTTCTTTCCCTCCTAATTCTGCTGGTGTTCTGAAACATGGGGCAGGGGAGAGGGAAACGCTTCTCTCTCCCCTTTATCTAAGACGCCTCTTGGCCGCCTGCCTCCTCTGCCCTTTACCCCAACTCTTCCAGAAACAGACCCATCTGGCCAAGACTGTGATGGCTCACTTCTTTGAGGTCCTGCTGTACCTAGTGGCCACTGAAGTGTCTCTTGCAGACTCATGGGACAGACTAGAGGCTCAGGGCAGACTTGGATGGCGATAAACCCAACACTTTTCCTTTTGGTTCTAGGACATAGTGTGAGGGTTGTTTTTTTTTTTTTTCCTGGAAGCAGGTTTAATTCAATTGGTTTAATTCAATCCTACTTGGCTCAGGTTTATGAAATAATGGGTCTGTCTTCTCTGGAATGCCCTAAGGTTGAAGCCCCATGTGGCGAGGAGGCAGCCAAGGAGAAGAAACACATGAGTCACAAGGGCAGAGGTATTAAGTGAGGTGGTGCGTGTGCAGTGCTTGAGAACGGAAAAGGGCTAGGCGAATACTGAGACATTACCACTGCCATTGTTACCATCGTTATGTTTTCACCAAGCACCTCAGGGGCCTAGCCTTGGAGAAACCAGGTGCTAACAGAAGCAGTTTTCCCCAAAGGAGACAGGTCACAAGCAGCCTCACCGCACTCCTGGGACATGCTTCTGCACTCCGTTAGATCCCCTCTCTGGTCCCCCAAGCCTCCTCTCTAACTTCCTCTCCACAGTCCCCAATGCGGCCCAGCCCAGGGCCCCCAGACACTCACAGTGGTTCTCTGTTGGTCCAACAAGGAGGCCCAGGGGCCTTTTTGGAGCTTCCTCGTCATCAAGGTGAAAGTCCTCGGCCTCCCACTGCCCAGAGGCCTTGAAGAAGCTGGCACACACACCGTAGGCACAGCACTGGTAGGCATAGGGCACCTCCAGGATCCTGGGTCGGGGGGGGGCACAGGCTGCCTCAACATGCTTGGGATCTAAGTCATTAGTCTGAGTTAAGAGATGCCCAGCCCAGAGAACAGACACTCAGTACCTGCCCTTTAACCCCAAAGTGCCCTGATCCCTGTGCCAGCAGCCTCCTGGGCTTCCTTGTAGGAATCTTGCAGCCTGACTCCTGACTCTGAAGGGCATATTCCAGTCTTTGCCTCATTCATCTTGAGAACAGAGACATGGAGAGAAACTTTCTGCCCATTGTTGAAGGAGTCCCTTAAGCAGGCTCCGAGTGGGGAGTAGCTTCCCACGCAGCGCTCGGGGTGCTCTGCTCCACCTCCCCGGCAGCAGCTCTTCTTTTATATTTCAGGAGACAGGGAATCTCCTAGTGACTCTTTACCCTTGCCTTTAGTGGGACCCACGCCCTGTCCCCCCTCTCTGGGCACATCAGAGCTGGACTTGGTGCCCTCCGAGGGTGAGGACAGATGCCTCAGGGCATCTCATTAGTTTGCAGCAGACAAAACTTGGGCCACACAGGCCGTGCTGCTGCTGCTGAAGGAGGCCTGGATGTCATTAGCACCAGGGACTGGCTGCACAGCTTGTTTTCCACTCATCAGTGCCCTGGGCTCTGCCCCGATTCCAGGGGCCCAGATGCTGCCCAAGTAAGGACATACAATCAGGCTGTGGGGAACCAGGCAAGGGGCGAGGAGGTCCAGAGGGCCTTCTGACTTTTGTTCTTACAGGTTCCAGTGTCCCCTAGGGTTGATACTTGGGACAGGGGGAGATGTTAGAAAGAAGATGGGGATGAAGGAGAGGCATGATCCAGACCCCAGTTGGGCTGGTAGGAGGTGGGATGGGCCCTTCCCAGTCTTGGCCAAACTCCAAGCCATTAGGCTCTTGTCAAGGAGAGGCCTTGTGGCTTTCTCCCTGTCTCTCTAGAGCCTCCAGCTGCCCCGGGGCAAACCTACCTAGGTGTGGGGGGAAGCCAGGCCCTCACCTCAGTTTTGGGAAACTGTCCTTGGAGAAGGCCTGAGATAGAGCCATGTTCCCTTTGAGCTTCAGATGCATCAGGCCCCCAAGTCCGGCCACGGGCAGTGTGGTCAGCTGGTTGTCTGTCAGGTCCCTAGGACAGTGGATGGTCAGGGTTATTGGCAGTCAGTGAGATTGCTGAGGGGACAGGGCTGTGCTGAGGGTGTGGCCAGCGTGCCTGGGATGGAAGCAAGAGGAGAGGAGCAGAGGACAGAAGATAAGCATAGAGAGATGAGAGCATTAAACGCTGGGGGAGGAGGGTGGTCAAGACTTCCTAGAGGCACCATCTATAACTCATTCATTCATTCATTCATTCATTCAACAAACACTGGGTGCCAGCTAGGTACCAGGACTGTTCTAACTTAATGCCAAGCTGTTTCAATTTGTAACAAAGCCCACCCCCCTGCTCTTATACCCAGGTCTGAGTCCCGTCCAGGAGTCCCTGCCCACCCCCTTAGGGGACCCTCTTCTTGTTCTTATTTATCCCCATCCCCAGCCTTTCCCCCTGCTTTTCTGATGATACAGACACCAGAGTCTTGGATTGGACAGAGCTGGCCATCTGGCTACAAGCAGGGATTGGGTCATCCATTCCATCTTGCAGAGGTTGCTTTGTAGCCAGAGGTGAGGACATACATGGTCTTCTACTGAAGACGCATTAGAGGAAGCCAGGACTCCAAACCAAACACCATGACCACAGACTGTGCGTTGTGGAAACAGCCCTAGACTGGAAGGCAGGAAACCTGGCACTGTCACCAACTCACTATGTAACCAAAGGGAGTTACAAATCTGCCTGAGTTTCAATGTCCTCATCTCTCAAAGGGATAAAAATGTCTACCCTACCTATCTGGCAGGAGTAGAGCAAACAGGAGAGGGAAGACGGAGGTGAGAGTTTTGCAAGGCCACAATCCAGAGCCCAGACAGCCGCAGCCTGGGGAGGGACTGTGTTGCTGGGATCCCTGGGCTCTAGCCCTTGGCGTTGAGCAAGCTTCTCCCTCTGGCCTTGGAGGCCTCACCTGTGAAGTAAGGGGTTGGGATTGCGTGATCTCTGAGGCCAGGGCTGGAACTAGCCCAAAGGAGTCTTTGTGTTAATCAGAAAAGGTCCCTTCTGGGTGGATGGGCCTTTAGGATGCACAGCTTGGCAAGCAGGTGGCAGGATGTCAGCTCCCTCCTGGGCAGGAGCCCTTCTGCAGTAAATAACCTGTACCACGGTATGGAGCAGCCCCACCAGAGGCCCCTTCCAGTCCTGACATAATGACATGTAGCCAGCACTGCACGCTCTCTGTTTACATCCTATGTAATTTAGAGGAACTGTGGTCCCCTTCTGCCCCACAGAATGGCAGCCCCCTAATGTAATGCTCAAGCAGGGGACCCCTGAGTTCTCTGAGACCCTGGTCCCATATCCGCAACCACCCTTCTGTGCATGAAGGAGTTCCAGGCCCTTAATCTTCTTTATTGTGCATATAGAAGATGACGGAGGAACTGGGGGACATGGGGAGGGGCTGATACTGCCAAAATATTGCAGAACATCAGCAGATGATATTCCAGAGCTTGCAAGAGCAGACTGTTTATCAGGCCCCACAGTCTGTCAAACTGACTGTCAGAATGATTCATTAGGCTGGAGCCCATCTTCCTGGGATGTGTGGTCAAACATTTATGCATGTCCTTGCTCTGGGGTGGCCCTCCAGACCCTGTGGGCCAGCCCAGAGTCCTGATTGGTCCCCAGTATCCTGGAGGAGAGTGCAGCAGGCACTTACAGCTTGACCAGGGAGTGCAGGGTCGAGAAGGCCTCAGGGTGGATGGACCGGATGGAGTTCCAGCTTAGGTCCCTGTAGGCAGAGAGGGTGTGATAGGAGAGGACAGTGACACGTGAAGGACTCATTGTTCCCACTGGGCTCTCCCTCACATACCCCACATCTGACTTGCCCCCATTAGCAGTAACCTTACCCTTTGGTTCCCAACCTGGCAGTGGCCCCAGGAACAGGGACATGGTAGAGCTTGGCTTCAGATTCTATTGGCCCCCTGGGTACCAGCTGGAGAAGTGGCTTGAGAAGCCACCTTTCTGGGGAAGCACCTCTCCTCTGTGCATGTGTGCTGGGGGAGGCGGTGGGGAGCAGGAAGGCGATGTGCATGTCACATCTGCTTAAATTGTACTATGGGAATGAGCCTGGCAGAGGGATACAGCGTCTCCTCCAGGGCCCACCCTGGGTACTACAGGTACTCACAGGGCTTGCAGGGAGCTCAGCTGGCTGAAGGTGTCAGCTCCAATTTCCCAGATGCGGTTATGTTGGAGGCCACTAGGGCAGCAAGAGAGACTGGATGAGCCTACAGGCTCAGTCCCTGGCTCTGTTCCATGCCCCCCAAGCACTGAGAGGAAGAAAGGAGAGCCCCCCACTTCTCCTGGCACTAGAAGAAAGGGCCCAGCCCGAGGAAGTCACCAAAATTAAAGGGAGCACAAGTGGATCCGGTTGCTTTGGATAAGTGGGTCAGGAGACAAAGCCACAAAACCATCCCTGCGGCCCAAAAGGGAGTCAGCTTCCAGTGTTCCCACCGGGCCTGGCTCCCAGCCCAGCTGAACTGCCCTCCCAACTCCCCATTGCCATGGGTCCTCCAGATCCTAGCCCAGCAGCAGAGCACCACCCAGCCCTTGGACAGCCTAAGCGACTGGCTGGAGTGGGGAAGCAGAGCTCAGTGGACTGATTGTCTGAATGGCAGATGGACCCTGGCCTCCACCATGTGGAAGACCTTCCTTCCTTTGGCACCTAGACAAATAGGACAGACCCTGTCATACCTCTACCCTGGCCCCAAAAGGGATTGACCTGCCTAGAAGCAGGAAACAGATGTAGGGAGGCCCTGCTAGCTCCAGGAGCTGGGTGACAGAACTTAGAGAAATGACTTTTTCCGTATGAAATGTGAATCCCATGTGTGATCGTGCATGTCTGTGTGTACATGCACACACATACACATGTGTGTGTTTAGGGGGTGTGGAAATTGAGAAAGCATGCTCCAAAGTGCAGGGTGTCTCTGCTCCTCCTTCTCTAGTGCAGCCCACTGAGCTCTGATGTGGCCCTGTTCCTCCACTGGCCCTAATCACTACTGCATTTCTGTGTGGCTGCTGACTCATAAGGAGCCACCTTGGTACTCCTTTTGGGCACTAGCTCCTGGGTCTATCATCTGCTGGAGTTCTAGAGGACTCATCCAGGCCTCTGCCAAGCTCCCAGCCTCACTCCTGGGTTCAACAAACTCAGAGGAGGTAGGAAGGTCAGAGTGTGCTGTGGCCTTTGCTGACTCCATCCCCTCAGGTCCACCCAGAGTCTGGCTTACGTGCCTTTGCCTCTCCCCTGTCCCCACACTCACATTTCTTCCAACTTCTGACACCTGTGCAGGCTGGGCAGCTCCTCGATTTGATTATGAGACAGTTCCCTGGGGAAGAGAGAAAGGCCTGGGCTCTGGGGAAGCAGTGGCAATGTAGGCGCCAGAGGGGACCTGGTCAGGGCTGTGGGGACCCCACAGGTATATGGCTATTAACACATCTCACACCAGGATACTCACTTCCCCAATTAGACTTGTCTGAATTTCCTCCTGCTAAGTCCCACTCCTGACTGTGCCTGGCTGGAGCATTTTTCCAGTAAGGCTGCCTCATCCCTATGAAGGACCCTGGGAGGGTCCTGGGGAAAGGGGACAGGAAGTGGGAGGGTCATGGTGACGAGGAAAGAGGCAGAGTGGAGTACAGGGGCATAGAGACTGCCAGCATGGAACACATCAGGCATTACTGAGCAGGCTGCCCAAAGCCAACCCAAGCACCTGTCCTTATCATGCGTGGAGTGTGAAGGGGAGATCAGAGCTGGAGGCCATTAGGCATCACCCGGCCCAACCCCTTCACTGAGATGAGCAACCTGAGGCCTAAAGAGGGGGTGGAACCTGCCCAAGGACACACTGCCAGTCAGTGGCAAGGCTGGTTCTGGAGCGTCTCCAGACCGCCAATCTAGGGCTCCTTCCACACACCATGTGTCAGTCAACCCATCTCGAGCTGTGGGGCTATGGTTCCTGGTGAGGAGCCTCCGATTCAAGTTGGAGTCAAGGGAGAGAGAAAAACTCTCCTTGACCTCATAGGCCACTTAAGTACCTCCACAGTCCCAGAGGGATGAATTCTCTCATATAAATTAGAGTAACAATGCCGTTTATTGGCATCATGTGCTAGGTGCTTTACATATATTTTTTCTACCCTTACAAATTTACCCACATTTTACAGATGAGGAAATTGAAGCTCAGAGACATTAAATAGTGAATCCAAGTTAATACAGCTAGTAAATGGCAGAGTCAAACCTCGGTCTGACTCCAAAGACCATTGACTTTTTAACCTGAACAAGAGAGGACAGCCCAGTCCCTCTTGGGCAGCTTCTCAGCAGGCACCTAAGCTGCCCCACTCCAGGAAGAGATGTGACCAAGTGGGGCAGAAGCAGGACAGGCTCCTTCTGGGACATGGGGGCAGGGGCATGATGCCAAGACTGTAGACTGCTTGCAAGCCACTCACAGGACGCGGAGCCTGGGCAGCTGTTGGCACATCCCTGGTGGGAGCAGCCGGATGCCTGCGCGGGTCAGGGTCCTGCAGGGAGAACAGAGACAGAGCTGGCACCAGGCCCAGGGCCCTGCCATTCCCAGCCACCCGTCTCCAGTTCTGGAGCTGATACTGTTGTGGGAGGACAGAAGTGACAAGAGAGAAGTGGTGGGAGAGACAAGGCGGGGGGTGGGGCTGCGGGGACAGAAAGAGCAGGCCCTGATATCTGAGCGCCAAGCTCCCTTGAGCCTGGTGGGGGATCTGGCGGTGTGGAGTGGAGAGAGACCTGGGGCGCTGCTTGGCAGTTTCTGCATGCCCAGCCCCTCACCTCGCCCCATCCCATACCCACCCCAAGTCTCATAAAGGGCTCCAGTAGCACTGCGCCTGTAGGACAGAGGCTAAAATCTTCTCTGCTCTAGAGGCCTTAGAGATGAGGGACAGCCATGGGCAGGAAGTAGGTAGGAAAAAACCCGTGGTCTAACCATGGGCACCAAGCATGGAATTTGCTCCTTGTGCCTTGGGGGAGGGAGAAGAGATGGGAAAGAAGGGAAGAACCAGGGACTAGGGTTGAGACGGTGTGGGGGCAGTTTGGGGAGAGGTTTGGCTTAGGGACAGGGTGTCCCAGGAAAGACCCCAGGCCAAGGTCATCTTTGAGGAACTACTACTTCCATCATGGAAAATTTTCCACATGCCAGAGAACCTAGGGAGAGGACAATAGAGGCACAGAGGAATGTTCCAGTCCGAGCAACGCCATGCATGAGCTTTGTGATGCGGGCAGGACAGTTGACCTCCTAACATTCACTCTGAGTGTTTGCTTGATTGTTTCATTCATTCGTTTAAATGTATTGAGGGTCGGGGCCAGCCCGTGGCTCACTTGACCTCCTAACATTCACTCTGAGTGTTTGCTTGATTGTTTCATTCATTCGTTTAAATGTATCGAGGGTCGGGGCCAGCCCGTGGCTCACTTGGGGAGAGTGTGGTGCTGATAACACCAAGGCCACGGGTTCGGATCCTATATAGGGATGGCCGGTTAGCTCACTGGGTGAGCATGGTGCTGACAACACCAAGTCAAGGGTTAAGATCCCCTTACCGGTCATCTTTAAAAAAAAAATGTATCGAGAGCCTACTATGCTCTGACACTCCCTTCCTCTACTCTACAGGATATAATAATGGAAAACATGAGAAAGTCTTTACTGGAATCAAGCTTCAAAACGGCAAAGGAGATGGGTTTTCACAACCCTCCTCCTTGTCATGGGTGCTCAGTGCACCCATGGCTTGGGGTTAGGAACTCTGAAGTCACACCTGAAAAATCTACACATAGTAAAGAGAGGAAGAGCAGTCCCCTCACCACCACCTTCCAGCCCCTGGCCTTGTCTGTAGGCAGTGCCACATTAGGAGGTGGCCATGGGCCCCGGAGGATGAGTCAGCAGCAGAGGCAGACCAGGTAAGGGGGAAGCAAAGAATCCAGGCAGCCTTCCCGGGGTAAAGCTGGGGAGATAGATCAGGTGGAGGGAGAAAAAAATCCACTCACAGGATCTCCAGGCTGGTGGTGCCTTTGAGATCTGGGAACTCCCGGATGTCCCTGGCACCGTTCAGGGATCTGGAAACAAGGACAACGAGCTCTGAGGGGTGGGGTCAGAGCTCAACATCCAGGCTCTCAAGCTTCAGTCTTTTGCCCACTCAGGGACTCTACCTTTTGGCGGAATGTCATCCTTCCCTGCAACCTCCCTCAAATCAGCCACGCAGGCCCTAGTAGAGGCTAAGTCATGCTTAGCGGGGTCCAAACAGCTGTCTTCTTAGGTTGGCTCAGCTCACTGTAGCCTAGACCGAGCTGGGCAACCTCAGCATCAAGCCTCAGCTTGCAAAGATAACACAGGCAAGGAACATGGGAATTGCCCCTGTTTAAAAGGCAACAGCTTGGGTGTTTCTGAAAAAGTCCTTGGCTGCTGGGGTTTGCTTATTACAGTCTGAGGGAAAAAGTCTCCCCTAAATTGTCATCTGCTAGAGCTTTATTGGAATCTGTCAGTTCTCTTAATCTGCTTTAGCCTGATGGTTTTCCCCTCCCCGCATTCCATACCTTACTGAGGACATGGACCCACGTGGGGCCTGCACACAATAGGAGCACAAAAAATGAGTGTGGTCAAAGGCCCTGAGCAGGCAGCATGGGGCCCAGAAATGAGTCCAGGATCTGAGGTTAAGGTTCCAGGGTTCATGCCTGAGCGGGACCCAAGCACCTCAGTTTCAGTCTGTAAAATGGGCCAATAACACCTACTCATAGGGTTAGGATGAAGATCAAATGTGATAACACATGTGAAAGTGAAGTATGTGCTTTGCAGACATTAGCTACGTCAATGTGATGCCACGGTATGCTGAAAGCAATCCATGGAAGCTTTTTTGAAGAAGTGGGACTTGGGCTGAGAATTAAAAGAATGGGAGACAGGAAGCAAAGAGGCACCGTCAGGCCAGGGGTGCTAAAGATGGCACAGCAAGGGGCCAAGGTACCCGGGCTCCGAGGCCACTGAGAACCAGTCTTGAGAACACAGAGCATTCAGGACCGTAACCCAGTCATTTGTTCTTTCAGCAGGTATGTATAGAACAGCTCCCATGACCAGGATAAAACTAAAGAGGCCAGATAAAATTCCTTGGCTATGGAGAAGGGCCCTCTTCATCCATCTGAGATCTGGGAATGAGCCATAGGTTAGGGAGATGGAGAGAGGCCATTAAATCCAGACAAATCTGGGAGTAGGTCTGAGCAAGGCAGAGGCCTGCAGCGCTCAAGACCACACCTTCCTGTGGGGTGGTGTCTTGCAGGTGGGAGATCTGCAGGTGGAAGGCAGCAGGGAGCAAGAAGGAGTAAGGAAAGGGAGAGGCCCAGGCTGTGGCAGCTTTCAGGTGCCAACTTACAGCGTGTGCAGTTTGGGCAGGAACTGGAACGCAGACCTTCCCACAGACTGGATTGGGTTATCATAAAAGTGTCTGGAAGAAAAGACCCAAACAGCTCGTTCAGTTTTTTGGCCCTTTCAGCTGGGACTAAGGCTGACCTCTGCTTTCTTCTTCTACCACTGGAGACCCAGGAAAGAGCACACAGAGGAAGGTACCCTCCCATACTCCTGCCTCCCTGTGCTTTCTAGGAAAGTCCCTCCTGCCTCCCCAACCCCTGTCCTCCTCCCCCAAATACTGTTCGGCACAGAGAGACAGGCTGACCTCTGCTTTCTTCTTCTACCACTGGAGACCCAGGAAAGAGCACACAGAGGAAGGCACCCTCCCACACTCCTGCCTCCCTGTGCTTTCTAGGAAAGTCCCTCCTGCCTCTCCAACCCCTGTCCTCCTCCCCCAAATACTGTTCGGCACAGAGAGATCAGAAAAGTATTACTCACATTGTCTGCAGCAGAGGGTTCCCCATGAAGGCCTTTTCTGGGATAGCCTTGATGTTGTTGTTGTGGAACCCCCTGGAAGACAATGCCCAGGAGGCAGTGAGGACTCGGAGAAAAGTGTGAAGAGGGAGAGACGTGGAATTCCGCGGGGATTTTGGACAGCCAACTAGACAGGCCACAAGGCAAAAGGGACATCAGCCTGGAGATCCCAGGTTCAAATCCTGACTGTGATTTTTCTTCTTTGTTCAATCACACACGCATCCTTTTCCCTAAAAAGTGTGAAAAGACTCGGGCATGGAGTCTCAGGCTGCAGGCCTCTGGAAGCCTATGACAGCCACTCCAGAGCAAGAGGCTGGGTTCAGGTCCCAAGAGGGGAATCCTCTCCTTAGTCACTTGTGGCAGGAACCCTGGTGGGTCCCCGCAGAGGAAGCCAGTGTGGGAGGAAAAGGAAAATGTAGAAAAAACAGAGCTTCCCGGGGATCCCAGGGTGAGGGCGTTCCTCGCGTGGAGGCTGGCGTGGCCTCAAGGCCCTGAAATGAAGAAACACGGAAGTGTCAATAGCAGCAGGAGGGACGAGGTCCAGAATCAGATGTGGAATGACTGTGGATGGCACTATGGGCGGATGGAATGAGGCACCCAGCTGAGTGTCTGGGGTCTGGAAGCCAGGAATTATGTGTTTGGTTAGTTGGGATGAACATTTCAAAATAAATAACATGTTGGACTGAAAAGTACATAACCCGTGCTGAGCAGGGCCCTTTCCATCATGCTCTTTGGCTGGAACTTTCTGGTTTCTCTCCGTGTCCCCTTTGCCTCTGCTCCCCTCTCTCTTCCTCCTGCTGTCCCACGTGACTTCCACCTTCATACGTGCTCACTCACAGGTTCACCCTTAGACACCTCTGGCCACTGCACCACCCAGGCCCGTTTGTCTGCCCACTCTTCTCATGCACTTGTTATAGTTTTTGAAACACCTCCTTTGTGTCTAGTGCTGGGCCAAGCTCTGAGGGATTTGGAAGTTTACAAGACAGAGGCCCTGTCCTCAAGCAGCTTCCTCTCAATAGATGGAGATGGATGGATGGACAGACAGATAAACACATGCACACACCCCTATACATGTGTCTTCTTGTCCCTGCTAACTTCTTGTCTCCACTGTCTCCTTCCTAATGCTTTATTATTTCCTATCCCTGTGCCTTTGCACTACAGACAGATAAACACATGCACACACCCCTATACATGTGTCTTCTTGTCCCTGCTAACTTCTTGTCTCCACTGTCTCCTTCCTAATGCTTTATTATTTCCTATCCCTGTGCCTTTGCACTCCCTGTTCCTTCCACCCCTCTTGATTGATTAAATCTTGTCCTTCTATCATGCCCCAGCTCAAAGGAAAAAATCAGACCTTGGTGACTCATTGGCAGCGGAGCACTTCCAATAGTTTCTCACTCAGACACTTTCCTCTGGCTGGGCCAGCCACTCCTTACCTGCTTCCTACATCGGCATCACATCTTCAGACTTCTGGATGAGGTGAGGGGTGGCACAGGGCTGGTACTCTAGGTCTTACATGGTAGCTTGAGCTATAAAGATGCTTCTTGCCTGAAAGTTTGGGGCTCTATTGAGGGACCTTCGGTCCCCCTTAATCTGGTCACACTCTAGCTACACAATAGTGCTCGTACTGTTTCCTGACAGCCTGTCCTCTGGGAAGACTGGCTTCCCTCCTGTGGTCATCCCTCTGCTAGCTCAGCTTCCTATGTGGCTCTTTACCAACACTGTCCTTCTGTCAGAAATGCCTCCCCTCCTCCCACATCACTGCCACCTAAATCCCATTCCTCTTTTAAGGCCAATTACAGGATGCATTAGTCCACAATGATCTTTCCATGTCACTCTGAACTCCTATGATCATTTCAGCTACTATGACACAATTTAGGGTCAGAATTATACACTTCTTTGTCCTGTTCCCTGTTTTGCCCATGTTACTTCGTATCCTCAGTGAGGCTGAAGCATCCTTGGGGAGGGGCCACGTCTGGCTTACCCTTTGGTTCTGTTTACTACCACGCACACTGGATACTCAGCGAATGCTAAAATAGAATAGTAAATGGCGGCCGTGGAGAACCAGAGCCCACTTCACAGTCCCCTCAAGAGACAAGGCGCTGAGGAGTGACCCAGTAAACCAGCCCCCAGTTCATCCTCTCATTCTTCTCTGGACACAAGGTCCCAGCTAAGGCAGGGACAATGCAGACCCAGGCAAACAGGAAGTGGCTTGTGCCATGTATCTTTCCAGCCTGGAAGGGTCCAGGGCCACTTCTGCTGATGACACACTCCCAGGAAACGCTCAAAGCCAAGCTAATGAGGCCTGTGACTACTTAGAGCTGCCCTGGGGGTTGGGGACGATGGGCAGCTGCAGCTTTTACAGGGGCCACGGGAGGTGAGGAGGTAAAGGAAGGCACACGGGAGGCCCAGCCCGGCCTCAGCCCCTGCCCTTGGGAGAAGACACCCACAGAAGCCAACAGAGCAGCTTACAGTTCCTGCAGTCTGCCCAGGGTCCGGATGGCCACGGGGAACTCCTGCAGCTCGTTATAATTCAGGTCCCTGGAATGGAAAGCAGAGCAGTCATTAGAGCAGAGGCTTAACGGGGCACGTCAGGGTCCCTGAGAAACGGAAACTTGGCTCTGGTGTTGGCCAGAGAGATGGGTTTTCCAATCTGTTGAATCCAGCTGCCAGTGTCTGGAAATACATTTTTGGAATGTTTGTACTCCATTTCTACTCCACAAATCCTCAGGCTTGGAGCTTTTCTGGCAGTAGGACTGTTTTGGGGGCAGTGGGACACACTTCGGGGGTGTGGATACCTGGCACTGCCTCCTTCGGAATAGTCCCCCCTAGCTGAAGAAAGTATCTCAAATCTTTGGAGAAAGCGGCAGGTGGGGGTAGGGGTCAGGAAGGGCGGTGAAGGAGGGAGAATCGGATGATCTTTAGCATATTGTCACCAGCACTAGGGATTCTAGAAGGTTCCTCAGGTACTACCTTAGCTCTCTGTGGCCTTTGCTGTCATCTTCTATAAAAATGAACAGCGTTTCTTATCTTTGGGTGGTGGCATGACAGCTAATCTTTATTTTCTCTTACCCTTTCCTGTATTTTCCAATTTTTGGCAGTGAATATATCACATATATAATCAGAAAATAACGAAGGTAATTTTTAAAAGAGGTAGCAATCAAAGTTGGCAGGGATGCGGGGAAACGAGTGTACTGGTGGGAATTTAAACATATACAACCTTTTAGAAACTATTTGACAACATCTTTTCAAATTAAAAGATTCATACCCAGGCAGTCCGAGTCTAGGAATTTATCCTACAGATAAGTCCATACCCATGTATAAAGATATTTATAAAACGATGCTCATAACAGCATTACTTAGGCAACAGGGGCAAAATATTGACCCCTCGGTGATCACAGCTTTGTCCCTTCGGTTCTGTTAAGGGGGCTTCTGTGCTGTGCACCTCGTGGTGATGGCAGAGCAGAGGGAGGGAGGAGAAACAGAAGAGGCCAAGGGCAAAGTTGGTTTTCATCAGAAAAGATTTAGAATTGCTTGTGACAGATAAAAAAGAGCCACAAAGGCAGGGGAGGTCTGTCCAAAGAAGGGGGTGTTTGAGTTTTGAGGGAGGCAGTAAAGAGTGATCGGGAAGTAAAAAGTGAGAGCTCCAGAGCAATTTCAGAGACTTCTGTTCTGTGTTATGTGATGGGGTCGCCTCTCCACCACTGCTACAAGAGACTTCGGAAGAGATATCAACTTTCCAAAATATTAAAGTTGGCTTTTGTTCACTCAGTAGCCAGTGAGTTCGCCCTATGTGGAAATGCACCTGATTGCAGTGTGAGGGATCCTGATGCTTCTAAAGTCCTGTTGCCGGGGTGCACAGTCCCAGGCTTTGGCAATGGGGGTACAGGGGAAAGACTCAGTTACAGTGTCCCCCTTGAGCCTCCCAAGATGACCCCAGCCCATTTTCTCAGCCTTTTAAAGCCACCCTTGCCCTGACAACTTTCATAGCTGTCCAATGCCAGGGCAGGGGGACCACGTGGAAGCCCTTTGATTATAGAGTGACTTGGCAGGGTTTTGTGGATAAATACCATGTTAACACGGAGATAATGACAGGCTCCTCTGTGTGACAGGGTCATTACACTTAATAGTCCACAGGTAGAGCCAGGAACCCAGCCCAAGGGCCAGGGGAGCAGTGACAAGCGTCTGGCAGCCAGTGAGCCGGATAATTGTCCCCCTGAACCCCTCCCAATACACACACTAATTACCCGATTACCCTCAGACTGCCCTGGTGATCTTGGGTAATTACAGCATAAAACCCCTTCTGCTGTGCTCTGCTCTGCTCCTTTCTTTAGTGAGTCAGACACCTTTGCCTCTCATATGTCAAACTTGATTTGCTCACACAGAGGCTCCCACAGGCTAGGGGAGGGCAAGAACGTGGTCAAGCTGAGGCCAGGATGTGTGCAAAGCACTTTGACTGCAACCGGAGGTGTTGGAGTTGGGAGCAGGGAGGAATTTTCAAACTCTGGAGTTCCTGGAGTTCTACCAGGGGCTACAGAAGATGCCTAGGAAATCAGTTTGGAATCATTGAGGCAGCAGAAATGAAGTAAATTGCCTCTTTTTGGTTTTAAATTGCATAAGTGATTCATCCTCACATCCCAGTGTTTCAAAATCAGGTGTTCCCCTTTTAATATGTCTCAGTTCACTCAGGAATTCTTCACTGTTGCCCAAGGAGAACTAGATTTCCCATAAGTAACATGGAAGAATCTTCATTGAAAAGCCTTAATATTACATTATTATCTCAAATGCAAAGAATTGCATTGGCTTTAGAGACTTTGCTTGCTACTCCATATGCCTAGAATGCTCTTCCGCCAGATATGTGCATGGTTTACTCGCTCACTTCCTTTGGGTCTCTGCCGTAATTACATCTTATCAGAGAGGCCGCCTCTGAACAGTCTATTTAAAATAGCAGACCCAATCATTTGCTATTCCCTAACCCTGTGTGGTAGATTAAAAGTAGCCACAGATCCTTTGTGGCTTCTTCTATCAAGAGGTGGTATCTGCCTTGAGACTGGGCCAGCCTTGTGACTGGCACTGACCAGCAGAAGGAGGTGGAAGTGATAGGGTGTGACCTGGTCCTAAGTCACAAGAGGCCTCGCAGCCTCTGCCTTTGCTCTCTTGGAACACTTCCGCCAGCATGTAACGAAGCCCAGGCTAGACTCTTGACTGATGAGAGCCGTGTTGGAGAGAGACGACCAGCCAACGGCCAGAACCAAGGTCCCAGGTATGTGAGGGAAGCATCTGAGACTCCCTAGCCTTGGTGGAGCCTCCAGATGACTGTGACCTCATGATGGAGCCCAAGGGACGGCTCCAGGAGAAGAACCACCCAGATGAGCCCAGCCAAGCCACAGAGTCATAGAAATAATAAAGTGCTGTTTTAAGCCACTAAGTTTTGGGCTGATTTGTTATGTAGCAATAGACAAAGAGACACCCTGCTTTTTTTTCTTTGTAGAACTTATTGCCACCTGACACATATTTATTTTCTTCCTACCTAACTAGAATGAAAGCTCCTTAAAAATAGGAACTTTGTTTCATATTTTAAACACCAGAATAATACATGGCACAGAGTAGGAGCTCAACAAATATTTGTTGAATAAATGACTGAAAAGGTCTGAATAAATTGATTAATGAAAAACATCACTGGACTCAAGAGAATCTAGGGTATTTGGGGACCGTCCTTAAGATTTGGCAGTTGGGGCCGGCCCGGTGGCGCACTGGATAAGTGCGCCGCTTGGGAAGCGCGGCAGCGCTCCTGCCCGAGGGTTCGGATCCCACATACAGACCAGTTCCCGCTCACTGGCTGGGCGAGGCGCGGGTGCAACCCTGAGGGTTGCGATCCGTTGCCGGACCCGGAAAAAGACAAAAAAAAAAAAAAAGATTTGGCAGTTGGGGCCGGCCCGGTGGCGCACTGGATAAGGGCGCCGCTTGGGAAGCGCGGCAGCGCTCCTGCCCGAGGGTTCGGATCCCACATACAGACCAGTTCCCGCTCACTGGCTGGGCGAGGCGCAGGGGCACAACTGAGGGGTGCGATCCCATTGCCAGTCCCCAGTCCGGTACGGGGGCGACCCTGAGGGTTGCGATCCGTTGCCGGACCCGGAAAAAGACAAAAAAAAAAAAAAAGATTTGGCAGTTGGGGCCGGCCCGGTGGCGCACTGGATAAGGGCGCCGCTTGGGAAGCGCGGCAGCGCTCCTGCCCGAGGGTTCGGATCCCACATACAGACCAGTTCCCGCTCACTGGCTGGGCGAGGCGCAGGGGCACAACTGAGGGGTGCGATCCCATTGCCGGTCCCCAGTCCGGGACGGGGGCGACACTGAGGGTTGCGATCCGTTGCCGGACACGGAAAAAGACAAAAAAAAAAAAAAAAGATTTGGCAGTTGACTTCAGAAAAAGGCACGAAATAGTCTTGAGTGACACTATCAGGCTTGCCCAGGGCCACAGAGATCATGGGATGGGTTCCATGTGACTTTGCTATCATTGAGCCCTTATTCAGTTCTTTGGACTCATGTCCAGGCAGAAAAATTGAGCAGTTCCAGCCCTCCTTGGCAGTTTCTGGTCAGGAATTTTGCCAGGAGTGGCCAACAGACAGTGGGAAAAGATACATGGGAAAAGGCACATGACCTAGAAGGCTATTTTTGTAGAGAAATGTCGGAGAATAAAAATTGTGCAAATGTCAAAAATAATTCTGCAAACTCCATTCCAGTGAGGGAGCCTGAATTTTCCCATTCAGACATCTACATAGATTCAATGACTTGGTTAATTGCCAAAACCCTGGTGCCATGTAGACATGATCTCTGGCTTAAATTGCCCAGGGAATGTGTCCTTGCAACTCTCTCTGCTCCTGATGAATTCAACTCAGGACAATTGACATTCGTCGCCTGCCAAAAATACACAAGGAATTCTGCTGGGTAAAGTGGAAGGTAGGGAGAGAGGTGAAAAACATTCCTGTCTAGACAAATGCACAAGATAACTAGATGAGCACCCTCAGTGTGATCCCAGAGAGCACACGAAACATCAGGACTTTCACAGGCTGTGTGTGCTTCATGCACATGTTACATGTGAACAGGGTCTTGATGGCAGGGCAGGATTTCAATAGAAAAGGAAGGGTAGATTAAGTAGAGAGAGCATTGTTTAGAGGAACTGAGTGTTGTGTAGGTGTGTTTGGAGAAGAGCAAGGGATATAGCTTGGCTGGAGCAAAGAGCAATATTTGAAAGTAAGGCTGGAGGGCTGTCTTCCCTGTACTGTTGTGCACTTCCTATCTGGTGTCCCTGCTTCTAGACATCCATACGATAGCACTGGGTGAGCACTATCTGTGTGCCAGCAGCTAAGTGCTTTGCCTCAGTGACCTCTTAATTCTCACAACAGCCTTAAGAGGTAGATACTGCTATTACACCCATTTTACAGTTGAGGAAAGTGATACACAGAGATTAAATCAGTTGCTCTATCATACACAACTAATAAATGGCTGTGGCAGAGACCACTGTCTGCCAGTCAAAATCCATC